AAAGCTAGCATTTCTGTAATTTGTTTTGGATGATTAGATGTTTTTAATCCGTAGTTATAATAAAAATTGTTCTTACTATTTGAACTCTCTTTTAAAAAGAAAAACCCGTTAAATCTTTTAACATCCCAAAACAAATCTTTTAACATCCCAAATTTAACCACGTTAAATCTTTTAACATCCCAAAATACCAAAATGATACTGAGCTGTCAAAACAGGTATGGAAAATAAAAGAAGCCAATTTAGTTCCTATAGTTAAGTGGAAAATTCTCAGGCGATGTAAAGCATATAATCCTACATCCAAATCTTGTAAATTATGTCTCACCGAAAAATATGAAATCCTAAATTATAAAAATACCAATCTACTAAATAAAAGGAGTGAGATTGTTTCTAAGTGCAGACATAGAAACAGATTCCTCCTTTCTCAATTTGACACTGGCGATTAGAAAATATGTTTTTTCCATAATATTAATATTATTGTTAATATTATTGCTATTATTATTATTATTATTATTATTTTTATTATTGTTATTATTATATTATATATTATTATTATTGTTATTATAATCATTATTATTTTTGCTATTATTTGTATTATAATTATTTGACGTCAGAACTCATTCCATTGTTTTTTTTGAATTTTGTAACGGTTTTTTAATTGTAATTTTGAACGGTTTTTTCTTGATTTAAATATATGGCTGATGAGTGCCGAAAACGGCATGAAACTTTAAGTACCGTAAAAAAGTTGTTTTTTTCTCATCTAACCTTTTATTTATTTATTTATTGATCTATTTTGTGATTATTTTCACTTTATATTGATCACTTTCAAATTGAAAAAGAGTTGATTATTATCAAATAATCAAAACAACAATATTTTTGCTCCATACGTTGAGCACTCTACTCAAGTCACATATGTGATGGAAAAAATAAACTTTGGATATTCAGTCAAGAACATTCCGATACCATCCATTAAAGACTTCAAAATGCAATTATTGGATAAAACTGAAACTTTAATCAAAAGAATGCGATGGAAAGCGTTTTTCTTTTTAAAAGAGAGTTCAAATAGTAAGAACAATTTTTATTATAACTACGGATTAAAAACATCTAATCATCCAAAACAAATTACAGAAATGCTAGCTTTTGAGAACGAACTCATTGATCTTGTAAAACACATTAAGTTTCGAAAGGTACAAAGCAATTTTCAAAATAAACTAAAACAAGATATAAACATTATTCGAAAATCTAATCAAACTTATACGTATGCTGATAAAACATCTAATCTTTACAAATTATCTAAAAATGATTACAACCACTTGTTAAAGAAATGCCATCACTTCAAAATACAAATTATCTAACTCAAATGTAATAAATAAAGTAATTATAGAAGGTAAACGTCTTTTGAAAAATCATGAAGTTTTCGATAAAATTGATATTAATACAGCTTCCAATTGTTTTATCACCTTAAAAGACCATAAAGATAACTTTGAAAAACAATCCGACTGTCCGTTTATTAAATCCTGCTAAAAATGAGGTTGGAAGAATTACCAAGGATATTCTTTCTAAAACTAATGCAGACCTAAGAAGTATATTACAATTAAACCAATGGGAAAAACACTCAAAATGTTATCGATTGGTTTAAAGCCATAAAAGACAAACACCTTTATAAATTTTTAATTTTTGATATCATTGACTTCTTACCCTTCTATTAGTGAAACACTTCTAAAAAACTCTATCAAATTTGCAGAGCAACACTTAACACTAAATAAAGAGAATATATCGTTAATTTTTCATGCAAGAAAGTCATTGCTTTTCAATAATAATCAGGTTTGGATAAAGCAATCAAGTGGTTTATTTGATGTTTCCATGGGAGCTTTTTGACGGCGCGGAGGTTTGTGAGCTTGTAGGAATATTTCTTCTTTTCGAAATTTCAAAATTTTATAACAAGTTTGAGGTTGGTTTATACCGTGATGATGGATTAGCAGTTTTTAGGAATAAAAGCGGCCCTCAAATGGAAAAAATAAAAAAGCATCTTTCCGAAATATTTAAATACAATGGCTTACGGATTTCTATACAATGCAACATGAAAATTGTCAACTACCTCGACGTCACTCTAAATCTTAGTGAGTGCACCTTTAAACCTTATCTCAAACCTGATAATACATTAAATTATATCCATGCTGATTCAAATCACCCTCCAAGTATACTAAAACAAATACCACACTCGGTTTGAACTTAGATTATCTACAAATTCTTCTACCAAAGAAATATTTCAACAGGCTGTTCCTCTATATAATGAGGCTTTATTAAAGTCTGGTTTTAAATGTAATCTAACATATAATCCTAAAGCAATATCAACTAAAAAACGGAACAGAGCACGCAACATCATTTGGTTTAATCCACCATTTAGCAAAAATGTTAGCACCAACGTAGGAAAATGTTTTTTGAAATTAATTGGCAAACATTTTCCTAATAATAACAAACTACATAAAATCTTTAACAGGAA